ATCAAATATTCAACATGGATCTTCAAACTTTCAGTGATAAAATTTTCAAGAGACTTGAGCGAAGATTGAGATTTTTTAAACTCTGAGAAGTCACTGGCATCAAGGTACTTGCTAAGTTTTAGTCGCCAGACTTTACCAGCAACAAACTTTTCGATATTGCTATCAGTTGGATCACTACAAAAAAGAATAACGATATTAAATATAAAGATTAACCCACTAATATTTTTTATTTGATAAAAACACAATATATAATATTAAATGGTGAGCTTATATTTATTTACGTCTTGCATACCAATTTTTGACAAGAAAATCCTTGGCAAGAGCTGTCATATCCTTATTAAATGTGTCGAAAATTATCGAAGTATTCACGTGTTTTTCGATATAACATTTTGAATTCTTTAGATACTGAATCCATCGATGGAACAACCTTCTTAACTAGTGTTTCCCGAATTTTTTTAGTAGGATTTCGTGTGCGCAAAAACAAAAGCTTGCATTGTTCCATTACTAGATTGATTATAGTTTCCTTATCTGTTGGCTTGGAAATATTAACTTTACTCTAATTAATATGGTATTAGAACCAACCAGGACGGCCCCCCCAAAGTACAGATCAATAGCGCAGCCATAGCCGCAGCTAATAATATACCAATCATATTGTGTTGCATGAACAATAATCTATGTAAATATTAAATCTCAAAACCCCTTTAATGAACAATTAACACATTTAACACAGTAAAATGACGCACTTAAGTTTGTGAAACTTGATTTGTCTAAATTTGTTTCCTTTTGCACTGTTTTACAGCGATTAGCTAATGCACCTAACTTATTTAAGCGAAAAATTGCATAGAAAAGGCAAACCTCCGTATCACAACTTTTATCGCGTTGTATATAGTCTCTAGCTCATATTCATTGTTTTGAGCTGAGCTGAGCTGAGCTGAGCTGAGATAAGCATAGCACCAGCGTAGAAAAACTAGCGAGTAAGCGTAACTGTATATCATCGTAAATAATATCAAAATGTTATGAAAAACAAAATCCTACTATAAATTTACATTATGAATTTCTATTTTTTTTTTGATTTGTTTTTTTGTCTTCGGATTTTTTGCCGTGCTGATTAATTGATAATCATCTGTTTGAGCGAGACTTTCGTTTTTTACTCACAACTCACAATCCAATATTTCTTTGATTTTGTCAATCTATGCCCAAAATTGGAAGTCTAAGCCTTGTCCAATTATGTATTAATTTACATAGTGTATAACAATAAATCGTATTAGTATTCTCGATATTTATAACCTACTAACCTACTAACCATAAATGTATCAAAAAAGTTCATTATCTGTAATTATACTTATTCACGTGCTTATTTAACTTTGCACCATTTCAAAAAATTAATAATTACCCGATCCTCAGTTTTTTTGATAATATATATCTAAATTTCCAATTCTTTCCTTATAATTAACGTCAATCGATATTATAACGATAATAACCATTCAAATTTTACTTTATTACCCTTATTTAAAAGGTTGTATCACACAATATTTGTACGACGTAGCAAAATATTACATTGTATTTACATAATCTTGGCTAAATCTAAAACAATCTTACCCAAATTAGGAAGTTCGTTAACGCCAGTTTCGTTCTCATACTAATCTACATATTGCATAAATTATGTTCTTTAACTGTTAATATATATACTTAAAAACCTACGAACTGAATCAAAAAATTAACCCTATCCCTGCTTAAAACGGGCTTTAGCAGTCCCCAAATTAGTTAGTAAATATTTATTTCATCAATTATATTTTTTAGTAAAAAGTAGTGCACATACGTATGTACATACAGTACAAGCAATTCTATTAATCAGATAAGTAGTTCAATAAAACATACGCAACTTAACCTTATCCTCTTATCAATAATTTTTATATCTAAAAACAACCCCGCATATAATTACTGAAATTAAATGTACTATAACACAGATCTTCATTATATACAAATTAGGTAGCTGCGCGACGTAGTCGCGCTAAAACCAGGAACGGGAAGCTTTATTTAGGATTAGTAAATCTGTTTAATTACAATATATATAAAGAAAATAATAAAAAGAAAATTTTCAGTCATTGCTTTAAAAATTTAGTATAATTATAG